GAAAACAGTTAAAAAACATATCTTCATCATCATTAATGCATTATTTTTTTTTCAAAAAATGGTTTGTTAAATTTTTCATGAAAAAAATTACATTTAACTTGACTTTTGTCAATGCATTTCTGTAAACTGGCTTCTAAAGAAATTTATCTTGAAACTACGTCAAGTTTGCAATCCGATAATTTACGATCTTACCTGCTTGCGGTTAGAAGGGTCGGCATCAACAGCAGGGGCTGGTTTATTGAGGCGTCATTTTCACTTTGTTCGACTGTACCTCCACCCACCCTTAAATATTACAAAAAAAAAAAAATGAAAATTTAAAGTCTTTGTTTTTGAATAATTGGAAAAACGGCTTTACTAAATAGTCTGTTGTATACCATTTTTGAAAAGCGCTTGTTATGAGCTTTCCAACGATGTATCACAAGTAGGGTAGTGCCATTTAAAATTTGCAACTTGAGGTGGCTGTGGCTTTAAAGGTGGGGGAGGTGCGTCATTTACCATGTCATTTTGATTCCCCCTAAAAACCACCGAAACGGTTTTGAGTGATTCTCGATAACTTTTTTAGTTCGAGAGATATCGCCGATTGCAAGTTTTAAAATTGACACCCTGTATGTTCTAATTACGTTATAAGTGAATTGATACAATGCGGTACGAAACTGTAGCATCGACAATTCATTACGAAGGTTGGTTTTGACGGTAAGAATGCTTTTTCTAGAATGAAACTTACTCCTTAGGTAGAAAGGTGTCGATGTCAAGAATAAGCGATAAGTAAATACAGCCAAATGACATAAGAAAAGTTTATCAATTTTTAACCATTCCAGGTCTTTAATTTTTTCTGATACATGATCATGTTTCTTTAAACCAAAAATAAAACGACAGCAATTGTTTTGAATTTTTTGCAATCGATATTTGTTAAAACTGTCTAAGCAAGGATAGTAAATAATGAGTCCATAATTTATAAACGAAAGCACAAGGATTTCACAAAGTTTTTTACGAAGTTTAAAATTTAAGGTATTATAATTGGAATACAGAAGTTTAAGAGCGACATAACATTTTTTAATAACAGATGATACATAATTAGTAATCTCTATCAATTATCAATCCAAGACATTTAGTAGACTGCACAATGGGAAGACTTTTATTATCAATTTTCACATTTAAATTCTGAATCACTGAATCATAGGTACGTTTATTTGGCAAACAGAGTAGAAGTTTACATTTATCAGAATTTAATTTTAAGTTCATTTTACGCGCAGAATTAGCAATAGATTCCAGATCCTTACTCATAATTCGAAAAATAATTAACAAACCTCCAAAATTTAAGGTTACGTTTGAGAAACTTGAAATACCCGTAACTGATTTTTTTCAAATGGAAGGCCTCAATTTTCCTTCACTAAATGAAAGAGAATTTAATTCTGCATCGATCTCTATAAACATTCCCTATACCTAAATTTAATGATTTCCAAGTTATTTCAAGTTTTTACAGTGGAAGAAATTCATTACTAAACGTTTTTTTATTCTTTTCCTAAATACAAATAAAATTTATTTAATCTAAATTTGAATATCAAAGTAGCAATGGCTAATGAATTTCTCACAATATCAAAAGAAGTTGATAACTATCAAACATAGGTACAGGGAATGTTAATACAGATCGATGCAGAACTAATTCTTTTTTAACTAATGAAGAAAAAATGGGGTGTTTCATTTAGAAAAATTGAGTTAAGGGTATTTGAAGTTTCCTAAACGTAACCTTACTTTTGGTGGTTTGTTAATTATTTTTCCAATTATAAATACATCAAAGGAAAGATCTGACCTTTCTCTCCCGTATACTCAAATACGCTTTCAACATAATAAAAAATGGCAGAGTTATCGATTTTTGAATAGAAAGATTCAAATCCAAAATTTTTTAAAAAGGTTTAAATATTTCGAAAACAGTTAAACTCAGGTATAGGGAGGCTAACGAAAATTCTTCCAAAATCACTTGAGTAATCTAAAAACGCAATAAAAAACAAAACTTTCTATTTAAAATAACGAAGTTGATATCTCTTCCGGTGTAACAGAAAGTGACGCCATCTTGAAAATATTTTCATTGAGCAGAACCTAACAGATTATGACTAAACAAAATTTTAGATAAATATCATTGTTAGAACTTTCAGTACTTTTAATGTGGGGTTTAGCCGGAACAGCCTGTACCTATATTGCTGCTAAGGCCATCAAAAAGTTATATATTTTTTTAGAATTTCTGAGCTATTAATTTTTTTTATTCAGTATAGTTCAACCTTAAAGCTTCTTTTTGCTTTATTAGGACTTGTATATTTTTTTACAGTACCTCCTGGTCCTCAACGCGACCACATAATGGACACCATCAAAAAGACCCAAGAATCGATCGAAAGTATCAAGAAAGACCTCCTTCAATCCGTTTTAACGGCAAAAACACCGCCTCAAAAGAAAGCAAAGGAAGACGTTCAAAGAGAAATGTTAGATGCGGAATTAGATTTGATTACAAAGCAGCAAGAAGGTGCTGATACTTCGGAAATACAAAAGAAGTTGTTCGAGTTGAAAGCTCGTGCTGCTATGACTAGAGGACGCGGTCGAGGGAGAAGGTATAATCAAATCAGTCGGCATTTGTTAAGCAAGAATAATTTGATTGATAATGGAGGTTTGTTGAATGGAATTGGGGTGAAACGGAATTTTAATTTGTTGTTTTAGGTCTCAAAGGTAACATAAAGACGGTTAATAAAGCGTCGTTTCAAAAACATACAGTTGATCATAGACCTACTAGGTTATTAGTATCTGGATATGAAGCTGATGAACAAGAAAGTGTTTTGAATCATTTTCAAGTAAGTTGGTTTATTTTTATTTTTATTTTTTTTTGGTTTTAACACATTTTATCACTTTGGTTTAGTTGTTTGGGGAAATTGCCGACTACGTCGTTGATTCAACCTTGCCAAGCATTACATTGAACTACAAAACTCGTAAAGAAGCCGAGATGGCGTTATTAAAGGGCAAACATTTTCAGGTAGTAATTTTATTTAATTGTTTTTTCAAAAGTGATTGTTTGATATTATTATAGGACCGTACTTTATCCATCACATGGTGCAGTGGAGTCTCACTGAATAACCAATCAAGACCGGCCACTCTCAAAGTTTTAATGTCCGAGTCCGAAGAGGATAGACTAATTGAGCAGAGTTTACCAGAAGGAGAAGAAGATGTAAGTAAACACTATATAGGGTGTGTCTCAGAGAAAAATTTCAAGTAATAATATACCAGGAATAAAGAAAAAATGATTAAAAAATTGTACCTGTCATAAAATTTTGACATTTATTTTTTGACATTTCACTATTTTTTATGTCTATTTAATGATACTGATGATCTTGTATATGTTTTTCTATAATTATTTAGTAAAGGTACAAAAGTTTTGCAAATAAAAACCACAAATAACATTAAATACCTTACATGGTATTTTTCTCTGGGGCAGGAATTTTGGCGCACCCTGTATACATGTTTGAATTAATTTATCAACTTCAATTGTTGCAGCTGGGGCCGGAATTATCTGAGGAAGCCTTGCTTCAAGACGATGAAGAGGAAGAGGAAGAAAGCGAAGATCGATCATGGAGGCGATAGTTTAACACTCGATTTGAAGGCCATATTTGTTTCTCACCTGTCATTAGTTTAAAGTTGTATAATTTTTGTCTTTTATTTTTTTGAGGTTTGCTTGCTTGTAAAAATTTTATGGTGTATAACTGTATAGTGGTAATTTTCTATATTTACTTTTCGGTTTCATATGTAAGCTATGAATTTGTTTTTGAACAATACAGATTCTTCATAAAACACATGAAAACAAATTCTTAGTAGTTTGTTTGTTTATGATATAAGACGTTATCAGTAAGAAAAAAAAAAGATGCCCCCAATTTAAGAAAAAATAAAAATTAAAAAATATACTAAAAAATAGAACAACTTTAGAAAACATTAAATGAGAAAAAATGTTGATGTATTTGTATATTTTATTATATTTACATAATTACATAACATTCGGGGGCATCAAAAAAATTAAATATTTCGCACAAAGGTTTCACACACAAGATGATTTCAGGGAATTTTACTGCGCATGTGTCATAATTTGACATATTGCAATGACAGGTCAGATGTAATGCCACAAAAATCAGCTGGCGTAAATATTTTGTTTTATCTGTGACTCTCCTGTAATAAACAACAAAATGGCTTGGACTAATTATCAAATTCTTTTAGCTGTTGTTATGGTGATAACAGGAAGTATCAACACTTTAAGTACCAAGTAAGTTTTGAGGTTATGTACGCATTTTTTACCCCAAACTTCTTTAGGTGGGCTGATAGTCTTGACTCGGCGGGCAAAAATGGGGAAGTACACGATTTTGACCACCCGTTTTTCCAAGCCTCCTGCATGTTTATCGGCGAAATGTTGTGTTTGCTTACTTTCAAAATTCTCTACAAAGTGTACAGCCGACGAGCTGTAAGTTACAGTTGTGTTTTTGGCGAGTAAATAATTTGTGTCCTAGGACGGCTCCGAGGATGTCAACGAACTCACCCGCGGAAACCGCAATTTCAGCCCTTTTGTTCTTTTCCTTCCCGCAATGTGCGACATGACCGCGACTTCAATCATGTACATTGGACTCAACCTAACTTACGCTTCGAGTTTTCAGATGTTTAGGGGCTCTGTGATCGTTTTCGTAGGCTTGCTGAGTGTGGGATTTTTGGAGAGGATGTTAAAAAAGCGAGAGTGGGTGGGGATTTTCTTTGTGATTGTTGGGTTGGCTGTTGTGGGGGCTGCCGATTTTTTGACGAAAGATACAAATGCGCAAAACCACGGCCGAAATGACATCATCACTGGAGATCTTTTGATTGTCATTGCTCAGATTATAACAGCCATTCAGATGGTTGTGGAGGAGAAATTTGTGGCAGGGTTGGATATCCCACCACTTCAAGCGATTGGTTGGGAGGGTCTTTTTGGATTTACGGTTTTGGGGCTGTTGCAAATACCATTTTATTACATTAAAGCGGGGCCCCCATTTACTAATAACCCCCATGGGACGTTGGAGGACGCTATTGATGCTTTAATACAGATTGGACACAGTTGGCAGTTGATGTTTGCTATTTTAGGTAAGTTATTGTTTTGTAGGTTGTCGCATATTTATGAAAAAGGGGAAAGATAAAGTGTTGTGGAAATTTTATTGCTTACTCTTTTTATCTTTTTGATTACTTGTTTGTTGTAATTCTACACAACTATTAGGAATTTAATCTGCTTACATAGATTCTTAGTTTAACTAAGACTGTATTTAACTTCATTTGAGAAATTTTTTGCCATGTTCATTGAAACATAATTTGCGAGGACTGAAGATAAGAGCGGTCACTGACATCTGTTCAACTCTTATGAATAAAAAATATCACGTGTGCGCTATATTTATAATGCTCATTATTAATTAATTGCTTTGTGTGGAAAACATTACCGGTAAAACGATTCAATTATTGATTTTTGTTTGGGGTTCATAAATGTTGAGGCAAAAATGTGGAATTTGAATACAAAAAATATGTAATAAATTCAACTATTAAGTTTTCTCGGAAGTAAATCAATTAATCGACTATTGTTTGTATTATCGTACAAATAAAGAGTAAGTACAGTCAGTCGATTTGAAAATGTCGTATCCATAAAACGAACCGCTGGGTTTGTTGTCGTCTTTCCAACATCCCAAATAAATCTAAACCTAAACCTAAGAACATTGCCAACAAAATGTGAAGTTTTGTATTCACTAAAATTTTAATATTTTATTATAATTGATTGTTAGTTGCATATTGTTTTAAAGATAGAACGATGATTATTCGAAATGTTTGAGTTAACTATTCAATGTATTTAAGTAAACAATAAAAAGTAATAGCTTTTTAGTGATCCAAAGTAAAAGAAAAATGTACAGTATTTTTAGGAAAGAGTTTCCTAAAAGTTTATTGTATTATATTGTATACAGGATGTTCTGCCTAAACCCCACGTTAGAAGTATTGGGAGTTCCAACAAAGATATTTATCTAAAATTTTGTTTTTAGCCATAAAGGTCCTGCTTAATGAAAATATTTTTAAGATGGCAACACTTCTGGTTACACCGGAAGTGGGTATCAACTTTCTTATTTTAAATAGAAAGCTATGTTTTTGGATTCGCATCTTCCTATTCAAAAATCGATAACCATTTTTCAAAAAAAAATTGAGGCGTTTGATATAGAAAAATTTTAATCCGCGTCTCTCTTTATTACATTCTGATTTTGACGGAACACCCCACTGCGCAGTATCTACTACCCCTAGAGAAAGTTGTTTATTAAAAAAATTATAAATTGTGACCAAAATGCCTATTATTTTCATTTGTCTTTGTGCTCCTGTGGATGCAAAGTGAGTTGGTTGTGTACTCTAATCAAAGTTTTTATTTGTGTTTTAAAATCAAAAAAGGTAATTTGTATATTATATTATTATATTGGATAAAAGTATTTTTTTAGTTTAGAAAGATTCGAGCGTCAACAAAGCTGTGGTATCTGGCGTCGTTGCAATTGGTTATTCTCAGTTGTCTGAATTATGCGCAGCCTTAGATATACCACAAATGTCAGAAAAAACTTATTATACATGTGAAAATGAAATTATAGATATTTGTAAACGGGTAGTATTTGACGAAATGATTGCTGTAGGTAAAGAAGAATATCGGTTAGCATTAGATGCGGGGGATGTCGATGTGGACGGTATACCTTTTATTGCAGTGATCGTCAATGGCGCTTGGAGTAAGCGATCTTATAAAACAAATTATAATGCTTTGTCGGGAGTAGGTTGTATAATAGGTGCGAGAACAAAAAAAGTACTTTACGTTGGTGTAAGAAATAAATATTGCGTCACGTGTCAAAAAAATACTTCTTCAAAAATAAAACGCAAACATAAATGTTTTAAAAATTGGGACGGCACTTCAGTGTCCATTTTCTGCACGAGATTTAAAAATTGAAGAAGCTATCGAAAAAAAATCATTACTTATTGTACTGTTACAAGTTCCGGTAAAATGAAATTAAAATCTAACCATAATTATATGTACCAAATTCAAGGACAATTACATATCACGAAAAGGGATGTATGTTACTTTGTAATGTATACAGGAAAAGGTATAGCTTGCGATATTATTGAACGAGACGACGACTTTTGGTCTACAAATATGGTCCAAATTCTTGAAAGTTTTTATATGAGAGCAATGTTACCTGAAATTGTTGATTCAAGGTTCAGCAGAAATAAACCACTGAGAAATATTTTGCGGAAAGACCTTTGATTTTTTATATTATATTTTAAGCACAATACTGGTCRCTCACGAGGGCCGTGTAATTGTAGCACGGTGTCAACTATTGTGCTTTTATTACACTGCTATATTATAGTACTACAACAAAAATTTTATAAATCAAAACTTTGCCACTTTGCGTGTGATTGTGCCAACTACAATTACGCGTAATAAGTTGTTCATATTTAATTGCAAATACTGAACGTAAACTAAAATCTTGGAATTGTACATGTTTATTTTCTACTTATTCAGAAAGCTAAATAATAAATCATGAGAGCGTTCCTTCAAACCGTCCAAGGTATGTATAAAGAGTTGCATATTTTCAATTTTTTTTAACGTATTTAACAAAAAACTAATAAGTTTGAACCAAAAAGAAAATACTACCCCAATTGTACCAAAAAGCTCTATTTAAGCATAATAAATTTAATTAGAACAACTTACTTATGTGGCTAAAAAATGGGGACATTTTTAATTATTTTTTAAAAAGTATTAAGTTTTGATTTTTTTTTATATACGAGCGCAAATCTTACAATTATACAGAATCGATAGGGACATCGACATTTTTTTCAAAATGAAAAATGCGTCCGTAAAACGGGACCAATTTTTGCCTTGCTTTCGACGGTAGTCCAGACTAGATATTTGAAGTTTCTCAAACGTAACCTTACGTTTTGGCGGTTTGTTAATTATTTTGGCAATTATGAATTCACCAAAGACAAGATCTAACCTTTTTCTTTTATATGCCCAAGCACGATTTTATAATAATTAAAAATGGTAGAGTTATTGATTTTTGAATAATAAAAAAATTAAAAAAGTGTAAATATTTTGAAAACGGTCAATCTTAGGTATAAGGAAGACTTATAAAAACTCTCAAAATTACTAGAGTAATCGAAAAACGTATTATAATAGTTAAAGTTATATTTTACAAATTTTGTAATTAAATTATTAAATTAAATTATTAAAAAATATTTTTGGTAATTACATACAAGGCGGGTGTTTCAACGTATTCAAACATTGTGTGATGTTCAAGTCAATTTTAAAAGATATTAGAAAATTTATGTCAAATACACAAACAGAACAACCAGCAACACACCAGTAAAAAATTAACAACCAAAAAAAATTGCTTGATATGGACAACAAAAAAAAAAACGAAAATGCAACCTAGTGTATGTACAAAAAACAAATCTATTTGTGAAAAAAACACTGTATACAGGTGATTCGTCTCAGCTCCGGTCTTCTGTAGCTCAGTTATTATTTAAGTGGGAAGTTTGAGATTTTGTAGACTTTATTTATACAGGGTGCGCCAGAACTCGCGCCCCAGAGAAAAATTTCAAGTAAGATAAGATACCAGGAACATGGGAAAAATGTTTAAAAAATTATATCTGTCAAAAAATTTTGACATTTGACATTTTTTTATTTCTGTTTAATGATACTGATGATCTTGTATAGTTTTTTTATAATTATTTAGTAAAGGTACAAAAAAATTGACAATAAAAGCTACAAATAACATTAAAGAGAGTTACAATTTAGGATACAGCTCCATTGTTTCCTCTTATAATAGCCTATAGCAAAAAAACTTGAAAAATTATTTTTCCAACAAAAATAAATAGAGTCAAAGAGCAAAATATAAACTCTCATAACTTCTAAATTTTTATAGATAGAATTTTTTTAACATTTTTTCCATCTTCCTGGTATCTTACCTTATATGGCATTTTTCTCTGGGGCGCGAGTTCTGGCGCACCCTGTATTTTAGAGTGCATTTCAGGAAAATATTTTTGATTATTCAGGCTGGCCCAAAAATAAGTTGCAATACTTATGTTTTTTTAATGAAACACCATATGTTTCTCGGCATTTTTGAATGTAGATTTTAATTTCAATGTTTTCAAGCTAAACTTCTTGCTTAAATTTTGAATTAAATTGTTTTTTTTTTAATTCTATAATTCTAATTGTTTTAATAAAGAAGAACGGATTCAGTGTAACATAAAAGTGATTATTCAGTGAAAATTTTTCCATCCCTAGTGCAAATGTGCACTTTTTGGCTATTGAAATAATGATTATTTTTTTTTAATGTTTATAATTAAATATCTTTTTAGTTATTAATTGTAGGCACTTAAAAGTAAATATTTTTGGAAAGATCATTTAATAATCTCTTAGATGCAAAAACAAAAAATAGGGTGTTCCATTAAAGTTTTTTAAGTTATTTAACTTTTAACAAACTTCGACATATTTTTAACTTTTCGACTGCAATACATTAAAAAAAAATTATAGTCTTAAAGTTCGTACTTTCCTCTTTACAGTGGTAAAAAAAATTCCAGCTGTTTTAACTTTTTGTGTAATAAATTTTTAAATAGAGGTTGTTTTCGCCAAAAAAACAAAATAAATTCAAAAACTAAGCAAAATCGACTAATAGAAATTTTAAACATGCCAAGAAACATATGGTGTTTCATTAACAAAAAACATAAGTTTGTATTGTAATATATTTTTGGGTCACCCTGTATAATCAAAAATATAACGTCAACAAGGCTCTAGGGTATTTTTCACCCACGATATGTAGATCTGTTGGTTGGAACACTCCTGCATCCTAGGGTTAACAGCAAAACCTAACCGATTATAGCTGTAAACAAAATTTTAGATAAATATCAGTGATAAAACTCACAATACTTCTAATGTGGGGTTTAGCTGGAACAGCCTAGATAAATAAAAAATAATTAATTAAAAATTAATTATGTAATTAATCTTGTTGTCTTTTTGAATATTAAAATGAAAACTTTCTTGAGGCAGAACGCAGAAGCCAGAGCAGAGACAGAAAATACAGAAAAAAATTAAGTAGTGTTACATTAACCATAACAGTGCAGTGTTTTAATAAGAATTATAACATATCTACAGCATTTGATTTTACGGATTATTTTATTTTTAAAACAATGTGTAACTACTAATCAGTTATAATAAAATATTAAAATTTTAGTGAATACGAAACTTCACATTTCGGTGCCAATGTTTTTAGGTAAAGAAGTCGGAGGGGCGACAGCAAGCCTAGCATTTCGTTTTATGGACACGACATTTTCAAATCGACTGACTGTACGTCGCACGTCTGAGCCAATCCAATATAAAATATTTTGATGAATCTTTAAAAATTGTATTTATGAAAATTATTTAGGCCTGAACGCCCACGCTATTGAATTAATTATGTACTTTACGTTTTTTTTTTAATTTTGCTTATGGGACAAAAATTGCAGGAACTATATTTTCCATCGCTTTCTTTAACTTTGCTGGCATAAGCGTAACAAAAGAGATCTCGGCAACGACCCGAATGGTCCTAGACAGTGTCCGTACCATTATAATATGGATAGTAAGTTTGATGTTTATGCATCAAAAATTCCATTGGCTTCAGGTACATTTCCATGATAGATATTTTTCTTTAGACTTAATATTTGTTCCAGTTATTAGGTTTCGTCGCTTTATTATACGGAATGTGCCTTTATAACGGAATCACTTGCACATTTATATTCATAAAAATTCGAGCGCTTTTCATGCGGCTTAGATATCGAAACATGGAAGAAGACAGCATTATCGAAAACCGAACGGCTGATCTACCAGATGATTCAACACCAGCATAAAAGTCACTTGTTTGAAACGAAAAGACTAATTATTGTGAACCATTATAATTAAAATTGAGTTGAAAATATTAAACGAATTATTATTTTAAGTAAAATTTATTTGAAATATTTTGTATTTACATGTAGATTATTTTTAATAAAAGTGTTTTCTCTAATGACTAACATGTTACCGTTCCAGCACTCCGGGTATATATATTTATCGATCAATTTAATAAGGCCACCAGACTATCAATGTCTGGTATTTCGGCACTCTTAGTGTATAAATCATATTGACTGAAAAAAAAACAAGCATTTGATAAAACAACAAACAACTACTGGATACCATACAAAAATTTTAAAACCCAATCTTTGATTTCCTCTTCATCTTCGTTTGTTGTTAAATGTTGATAATTATTCCTTGTATGCCGGGGATAAAAACTAGAATCGAATCATCCACAAGGCCACAATTTCGATTTTCGAGTTCACGTAGAAGATATCTTAATAATGTCTGGTATTTTTGTACAACCATACTCTCTTATCAAGCCTAATTTTACCGCTATGGGTCAAGTGGTTTGTTTAAAATTGTTTTTACCGATTTTTGTCATGAATTCCACTACCGATCAGAGAATTTGCTTGATATTTTATGTTGCCAACGAAAATTCGTGTAGTGAATTTTTGAAAATTTTGCAAAAAACCTTTAGGGACTCATGGATGTCAAAACACAAGCATTGAAACATTTCAATTTGACCGGAAAGAGGTTACCGACTTTCCTCGTTTTGGACGATCGTCAACAGCAAAGACGGTGGAAAATGTAAAGAAAATCAAAAACTTCATGACTGTAAAACATCACTTAGGTTTAAGAGTAATATTATTCAGCAATTGTGAAATGTTTGTAAAAAATATTCACTGAAAAAAGTTAGATTTGTTAAGGGTAAGTAGGTGGTAATGCAATAAAAGCATTTGACTGTATGTATGTACACTGTTGGTTGCATTTTTGAAGACCAAATGGCAGTTCCATTTTATTTTACAAATTCCATGGTCGTAACGGTGAAATCGGCACCTGTGGAGGAGTGGTTTTGTATGTATGTACCTCCTTTAGAGTAGACTTTTGCATTGATGGTAAATGGGGAAAATTTCACTGTCCGCGTCCGCTAATCAGAATTTCTGTTGTAGTCAATGCCATTGTGGTTAATGGCAAAAAATTGCAATGGAAAACAAGGACACTTTTAAACTAAAAGGACCTAGCTAAAAAAAATCATAAATGTCCCTCTAAAGAATATAAATTTTATTCCAGACTTTTACCGGGAGAGGCGTCGGTTACGCGCACTTGATAAATCGCAACTTCTAATTAAATAAAACTGGCGATATTTTATATACCTAATTAATTATTGATAAAGTATATTTGACAATTTTTCGAATTTTTTGTAATAATAAATGAGGCCGTACCAGTTTTGTGTGTTTTATGAAAACTTTCTGTTAATTTTATAAAGGTGTTACACTAAATGAATCTGTACCTGCCAGCGCATTAAGCTTTGGTATCACAATTACAAATTTTGACTTGGTTAGCTAAATAATTGTTTCCTTTTTGTTTAAACCCAAACTAGGCCAGTGAATTATGACTGAATGGTATAGTGTGCCAATGAAAGAATCATTTATTGGTAGCCACTTTGAAGTCTCTTATTGTAGTAAATCTTGGAATCTTACCTAATTACAGTTCCCTATTGTCAACTAAATTTACGATGGCACAAGTAACAGGTCATAAATAAAAATGATTTTCGAAGTTATTTTTTTTCTGATTGCGTAAACAATTACATGAAGTGAGTCTGCGTAGGTCAGTATAAAAATAAGAATTTAACTTTTTGGGAGAAAATTGGTTTTTATTTTTTGGCTTTGTAAATGAAAAATTACCAAAAAAATATGGAATCAATGCCCAGGTAAGTGTGACAAATTTCAACAATTTTATTTAATTAGAAGTGGGGATTTATTTTCTGCGCGTAATCGATGCCCCACCGGGTATATTTGATATTTAGATGTAGGGACACGGTATTTTGGACGATTTGTCATTCGGTAACTAAAAAAAAATTAAACTGACATTCTAAAGATAAAACAGATCAATATAATTTTTGAACTATATGAAAAATGTATTGCAACTGCTGGCATTATTGTATTAGAAAATCGACATCATAATGATAATAAATAAACCGTGGCTTGCATTGACATTTTTTGCACTTGCACTTTTATGCGGCTAAGATATCGAAATATGGAAGAAGACAGCATTATCGAAAACCGAACGACTGATCTACCAGATGATTCAACACCAGAATAAAAGTCGCTTGTTTGAAACGAAAAGACTAATTATTGTGAACCGTTATAATTACTATTGAAAAAATTAAATGAATGATTATTTTAAGTAAAATTTATTTGAAATATTTTGTATTTACATGTAGATTATTTTTAATAAAAGTGTTTTCTCTAATGGCTAACATGTTACCATTCCAGCACTCCGGGTATATATTTATCGATCAATTTTTCGTAATAAGGCCACAGACCATCAATGTCTGGAATTTCGGTACTCTTAGTGTATAAATCATATTGACTGAAAGAAACAAAGATTTGATAAAACGAAAACCACCTAATGGATATGTATCATACTTAAACTTCAAAACCCAATCTTTGATTTCTTCATCTTTGTTTGTTGTTAAATGTTGATAATTATTAGTTGTATGCCAGGGATAAAAACTGTGGAATCGAATCATCCACAAGGCCTGCTTAGGAAGAGTTGATTTATTATGTATCAAAACTCGATACAAGTACTCATCATGGCCCCACGACAGTAACAAATTTTCTAATCCACAGTTTGGCTTGTACATACCATATTTCGTACTGCAACACATTTTTGAAATGTTTTGAAATTGCAATATATTTACTTACTTATATTTTGGATTTTTACCATCCACATTATCTACGAAAGAAGTGTCCCGGTAGACAATATCCTTGCCCCAGTCACAACCTACCACAAAGGTATCTCCGACAACGGCCCATTGGGGTTCCCCGTAGAATGCCATAACTTTACCCAAATCGTGGATCAAACCAGTTAGTTGAAACCAATCTAAATCAGGATAGTCTTTTCGAATTCTTTCAGCCGTTTGGAAGGCATGGACTATGTTGGGAAGATCGACATCGGGATCACTTTCGTCGACCAAGTCGTTAAGACGGATCAAGGCATTTTTGATTGTGGATTTGAAGTGATTGAACTTCGTCCAAGTTTTTATTTTGTCTGTTAAAGATACGAGGTAAATACTTTAATTTAACTAAATGCTAAACTTATTTAAATGAAAAAGTAATTACATGAGACAATTTTCTTTACGGAATGATGATGAAAATGTGTTGTGACGTTTATTTGTTGCAAAAGAAATGTTTTTTAATTAATTTCATTTTACTTTTTTATACTTTTCAACTTGAACACAGTTTTAGTTCAAGTTATTAATACTACAAAATTCATAATCTACATACAGGGTGTCACAAGTTTTAGGGCCGACGCAAAAATAAATATTTCTAATTGATTAAAAAAGAATTTTGATAGTGTAAACCATAGAGGATTAAATACACTTTAATTTCATGATTTGACGTTGATATTGTATAAAATTTTTAGCGTATGGCAATGAGACCTTAAAAATTAAATTTTGAGAAAAAAAATCAATTAACTGGAATATTTTCTACATGATAAAATTCTTTGATTTTTTTTGTGGTATTTGTGAAAATAGAATATTGATAAAATTGATAGATTTTGAATAATCATCCCAAATTTGGCCATAAATTACCAGAATTCCCAATTTTTAATATTAAAATGTTAATTACTCAAAATCTATTAACTTTAAATTATTCAATTTTTACAGTTACCGTTAGAAAAAAAGTCAAGGAATTATATCATGTACAAAAAATTCTAATTAATTAAAAAAAAATCCCAAATTGGGTCTTTAGGGTCTCACTGACATACGCTAAAAATTTTGAACAATATTAAAGCATAAAATTGAATCCTATACAGGGTCGCTAAAAAGTATGGATACAATTAAATATTATAAAAACTATTTATCAAAACTTATTGAAATTTGGTATATGCTTAAAAGTACAGTGAGATCAAAAAGTCTGTCTATCAAGAAAGCGTAGAAATTTAAAACGTATGTATGTGGAAGATAAAATGTCACAATGACAAGTGAGAAATGTCAAAATAATTTTTATGTAAATTATAACAGGAAACCGTGGTGAACGATTTTTATGAATAAACACCAACAAAATCTCATTTTGGGATATTTTGAAACGTTTCATAGAATAATTCAATTTTATTAGCTTAGTGTTTTAATTTTTATAAAATAATTTTTTGACATCTAGATAACATACAAACTGCCATGCAACATACGTCCTCAACTAGGACGCCTACTTGATAGAAATACTTTTTGATCGCACTTAAATTCCATCGCCTCAGATGTTTACCAAACTTCTATCTTCATTTGTTCTGGGGATACAAGGCTAACTTGATTTTTTTTTAATGTCAAGAAGGGTCAAATTTAATATTTTTCATAAGAGCATTTTTTTCTGAGTTCTGTGATGTAACACATGCATACCTTATTTTAAAATTAAAAAAAATGTAAATTTTTTTTTAGTTTTAGAAATGTCCTAATTTCAACGTGCTCTGCCAAACCGTTTTGAAAACATTTAACTGTATCCATACTTTTTAGCGACCCTGTATAATCATTTATCGTTTGGACTATCAATTTTTTTTAATCAATTAGAAATATTTATTTTTGCGCCGGCCCCTAAAACTTGGGACACTCTGTACAAAAAAGAAATTTAAAATTGTTATAAAAGAATAACAATTTATGTTCATGTTCATGCCTTTATGGAAAACAATACACAATCTATGACTTAGCGAAAGACACCTGTACTAATACACTTTTACAACCGCAAGCCTTTTTTTAACAGAAAAGACAAGCAGAATAATGTTTAAAATTTTCCATAGGTAGTCGATTGCAAAAATTACGCCAATTCAGGCTCTGAAGAGGAAAATGCGCAATTCAGCTACGAAAATAATAATAATAACAATGTAATATTTCACCTTGAACGAACTCCACGGTTTGGTGCGTGTGCATTTCCTTGTAGGTTTTTCGGACTCTTTCTTTGATAGCATCATTTTCGTCAATGGAATAGTCGCGGAATTGTCCTACAGGTTTTTTAGCAAAGGCTGGTTCTGGTCGTAATAATTCAGATGGGTCGATAACTTTTATCGGTTGATTTTTCTATGTGAAAAATAGTTGTAAACCGTTATCCAATTGTTTTTCTTTTACTTACCAAAGTAACGCTCATCTTTGAATTTAATCCAGGGACGATTCGGAGACAATTGGCGGATGCTGGCGAAATCCGATATTTAAATCCGGTGTTATCGCTTCTTTCGAAGATGTTTAATTAAATTGCGATAAATGATCGACAAAATTGGTCGAAAAAATAATTTACATGCTAGAGGTCATATTTTATATTTGATATGTTGCCTTGCATGAGACTTTATATTGATTTATCTAATATTTTCGTAAAAAGTAATTACAGTCTTGTTTAATAATCGATTTGGTGTAATTAATATGGAAAGTTTTAATTTACCCATCACGTGTTGCGGCTTAAAGCCTCTAGTGACTGATTTTTTGAGTTTTGATTAATTATTCTATTAAAATTAATGTAATTTTTTCTAATTTGGTAAATGGCTATCAATCGAAAAAGTCATTAAGTGTGTCTTATCGTATTTAAATTATTTAGATTAAGCTAGTTTGAAAAAAATAATTACAGATTATTATTTAACAGATTGGGAAAACAGTGTACAGTGAGCGGCAAAATAATGGAATGAACTTATTTATTAAAACTGAAAATATTGTATTGCTTTGCTTTTTAAAAAATAGAAATTTTTTAACTTGATTTAAAATTGTACAAGTATGTCTATTTTTTGTTGATATTATTTTACGTTTTTGGTGATTTTGTTTCGAAACTTTATGCAATATTTAATATTTTGGTGTTCATTTCTACAATAAAAGATCTATCGAATTGGCTAAAAAATTAGGGGTTTTCATTTATAGTGGATTTATGCTTCCATATCTAAGATTTATTATTTAAAATTTAATTTAAGAATCTGACATTTTACTGAATTTTCGAATTTATAGTACTAAAGCTTAAATCTTAAATAATAGTATGAATGTTACCATTGAAAATGCATAATTGGTCTCCTTAAATGTAAATTGTTAAATTAAATCTTAAATGATAAATCTTAAATATGGAAGCATAAATCCACCATTAAAAAAAATGTCGAAGACGTAATTACTCAGAAACCAAAAAGTGTAAAATTTTAAATCAAGTTGAAAATTGAGTATTTTTTAAAAAGAAAATTGACCTGTTCGAGTATTTTTGCCAAAACAAAATATTTTCATTTTTAATAAGATTATTCCATAATTTTGCCACTGCATATTTTAAAATTATTTTGCCTTGAAATAAAGAGTCGTGATAAAAACGTAGATAATGTACTTTTAAAATAGAAGCATGATTTTTAAATAGTATATTAAAGTACAAGTTGCAGAAGGTATCATCTATTCAAGCACAAATTTGAAAAACAAATGAGTGCTTGAAGAACCTTCTGCAACAAGTGCTTTATACTATTTTTTCTATTTTGTCGCTTTATATCATTTTATAAATTAAAAAACGAAAATTTTAATTTTTCTTTCTAGAGAATTTTGCGACGGTTGGCGACATTTATGTGGAATAATTTGACGAGTAGGCGGCAGTAAAAAATAAAAATAATTCTTATTTTCACATTTGAAAATGAATTGTGAAGAAAGTCCGTCACTAAAATTAAATTAACGTCAACGACTTATTCCAGCACTTAAATGACGTCATTTGGGTGCTGGAATAGACTTATTCTAACACCGAAATAGAAAAAGATATATTAATTAACACTTTTATGATAAGTAGAAAATAAATTCTTCACACAAATAATATAAGTATGTCCTACGTAGTAGGAGTTTTCCTTGGATGTTTTTATTAAGAATATAAAAAAAAAGAAACTCATCGTTTAATATTACAGGTTTCCGTTATTGAATCAAACATTTCTATTTTGTATTTAGTGAAAACTGTAATACAAGTTTTTGTAAATACGAGATCTAGTCAATAAATACGTTGCACGAACAAATGAAACAAAATTTATTACGGAAATTTCAAATACGATGTAATCCTCTTCAATGTACTTTTTTTTTGACTTGCTTGTCTTTCTGTACGTAAGCATGTACAGTCGAATAAAATGAAAATGACGCCTCAATAAACCAGCCCCTGCTGGATGCCGACCCTTTTAACCGCAAGCAGACATCGGATTGCAGTTTCAACATAAATTCCTCTTGGAGCTGGTTTACAGAAAGCCAAATTAAAATTTAATTCAGAATTAAACTAATTCGAATTTATTTGCCATTTACTTTGCATTGACAAACGTCAAATTAAATAAATGAAAATATTGAATTTTTTTAATGAAAAATTTAACAAACCATTTCTTAAAGAAAATTATGCATTAATAATGACATTGACGAAAAAACAAATCATTATTAGCTTCACTTTTTTTGAACTGTTTTTTCAATATAAAATTAATTAACATAATTTTTGAACGAAATAGGTTTTTTCTATTTTAAACTAGATTTTATGTAAAACAAATGAATTAGGAGTCTTCTAGTTCTTCGGTGCCAAATGTTACATGTTCCAGAAATGAAGAATCAAAGATACGTTTGAATGACAACGAACTTAAATTATCTATAAATGTCAATTTGAATGTTAATAATAATATTAAATGATTTGTGATAGTTATTGCTCTATTTTTATAGCAGTAGATAAAATGGTACTTTATACGCATCTAAAGTGTAGAATAAAGTCTCTCTATAGAGTGATAGGATATTCAAAAGTGTCGGACCAATTCTAGAATGGTGATAGAAGCATAAAAAAGAATTTAGATTTATTTCAAACCCTTTTTTGAGAAAATACAGAACTGTCAATTTCCATATTATCATGTAGGCACCTTTTTGTTTCCGATGTTGGCTTATTGTTAAATTTGCTAATTTGTACGCTATTAGACACAAATTGGTAATATTTTTCAACAGGTATCTGTTCAATGTTGCAACATTTGCCGTTTTCGCTAACCAAATTCAGGAATACAATGATCTGAACGGCCAAAAACTTAAGTCAAAAACCTAACCTTTGAAGAGCTGAAAAAAGCTCAAGTTTTTGTCATGGGAATTTTAACTCAGTTTAATTATGAATGGACTGCCACTAAAAATTTGTAAGCTTTTTATGTGAAAACTTATTTATTAAGTATTAGTTTTTATTTCTTAAAAGGCTATAGTTTTTTAAATGACTTTAATACCAAGCACGTGTTGAAAACCTCCACCTCGTTTACAGTAAGGACTAAAACCCACTAAATATTTTATTACTTTTAAGTTAAATACTGTATTGTTAATAGTATTGTTTTTGATGTAATTTATTGTTATTAAAGTCAAGTATATATTTTAAGAAATTTAAAAAAGTCAGGTGGTTAATAACAAGCTATTATTAAAATAAGGCTATTTTTTTATAATAGCTTGGTAAAACTATACCACTAATTTGGTTTTAAATACGGTCCTGTTTTGTTCTCTGGGTGCAGCAACATTTGCAAAGGAACGTGCCATTTATGGAGGGTTACAAATTCAAGCCATTCTTTGGTTAATCTTTCATAATGAAGTCATAAAATTTTTAGTAGGTCTTAGCAAGTCGTTTAAAAATATTATATACACATTTTGAAATACATACATACACTGTGTCAATTTTAAAACTTGCAATCGGCAATTTCTCTCAACTGAAAAAGTTATTAATAATCACTCAAAACCGTTTTGGTGGTTCCTAGGAGGAATTAAAATGACAGGATAAGTGACACACCTCCACCCACCCTCGAATATAATGAATAAAATGAAAATTTAACGTCTTCGTTTTTGAATAATTGTAAAAATTGCTTTACCAAATAGGCTGTTGTATTACATTTTTGAAAAGCGCTTGTTATGAGCGATGTATCGCAAGTAGGGTCGTGCCATTTAAAATTTTCAACTTAAGGTGGCTGTGGCTTGAAGGGTGGGTGGAGGAGCGCTACTTACCATGCCATTTTGATTCCCCCTAAAAACCACCGAAACGGTTTTGAGTGATTCTCAATAACTTTTTTAGTTCTAGAGATATTGCCGATTGCAAGTTTTAAAATTGACACCCTGTATAATAAATGATATTTCTTGTATCGGGTAGATACTTACCCACAGAGTAAAAGTAGAATAAACTTATGTATCGGTACACTTTAACGATAAATTCTTCAAGTAGTCAGTAAAAAACTAACATCCTCTTATACATATCTTTACGAAATAGACAAGGTATTATGTTTATCTTTTAAATTTTAATCATAATCAGTTTTTCATGTAAATAAGTCAATAGTTACTTTTCCAATTTGCAACTTTAAACAAAATTACTATATGATATGATTCCGAATATGATTCTAAAAATACAAACAAAAATGATAAACAAGTGGAAACTCACAACACGATGATGTACCAGAAGACAATGATTGTCCTTCTTTCTATTTAATTTATATTGTCAAAAATATTTTTTTGAATCACCGAATGTTATGAAAACTTGAAATATTATTTCTCTTGTTCGGTTGGTCCGCATGCAAAAAAAAATTCAATCACGTCAGAATTGAACTCCCTTATTATGTCAAGTTACCTGTTTTTGCATATTTAGATTTCATTTTTTTAATAAAAGAAAATTACGAATTTTATGCGTTTCTTTAAACTCACTGTACAATATGTAAAGTGTAATGGCAGTAAGCAATTTGTGTATTGAAAAATTACAGAAAATATTAGTTGTTTTTTATTACTACGAGTATATGATTGGGATTTTTTTAATTAAAAATGTACTAAATTGTACTTTATGTTTACTATATTAGATAATATAAAACTGTCGAAATTAAATTAAGACTTTTGCAAGTTTATCAATCTAAGAAATAATTAAGCTTCTTATCACAGCATTACAAAAATTGACTTTAATTAAAAAGTTTGGCAAATTTTTATACAATGTCTGGTAAATATTTAGCAATTGAAGAGGTAACCACAAAGATAAAAAAACTTGTGTTAAATTTTCCCCATCTTACCTCTTGTTGGAACAATAGTCTTTCAAATTTACCCAATCCGAGTTCAGGTAAGATTCTTTATTGGTTTCTGTTCTGACGATTGTGAATAAAATAGTATAGAAACTTTGGTGGTCTTTGATTCATTGTACATCGGCTTATTGCTAACCGGGGCGCTTCGGATGACGCTTTATGCCTTTATGATTATGCCCTCGTTTTTGGCTAATAATCTGGTAAGTTGTACTTCATTCTCTCTGGAATAAAATAAATGAAATCCCAATTTTTACTTTTAAAAACAGTAAATTGGAATGGAATGTATTGAATCTTTTAAGTGTTTTTTGACATAAATAAACTTCTTGACACCAATTTATACTCGTAAAATTATAATTGAATGAACTGAATATTTTCACATTATTATCATTTTTGTATGTTATTACATATAATTTAATCAATTGATTTTGATTCATAAATCACAGAAAAATTTCAAATAAGAAAAGATACCAGGAACATAAAAACAATATTTTCTATTTTTAAATTTCGAAATTATAGATGTTTAAGTATTGCACTTTGTAAGCTTAGTTATTTTCCTCACTGCGTTCGGCAAAATAAACGTTCAGCTTCGCCACATAAACTATCACTTTTACTCCTAATAACATAATATACCATGGAACATTTGTGGAAAATTAGTTTTAATTTTTTTCCGGCTGCAGGAGTAACGTAAATCAAAATCTGACTGATGGAGTTTGTAGTGCTTAAAGAGGGCTATCTTATCGATATTTTTGTCGATTCTCCAATTAACTCGATATTGGCGAAAACGACCGTCGAAAAATCGAAATTTGAAATTGCCGGGTTACCGTTACTAAGAAACGAACTATCAAGTCATTGTTGCCAAAAGAGAATTTGTCACAATTTGACTTGATAGTTCGTTTCTTGGTAACGCTAACCCGGCAAATTCAAATTTCAACTTTTCAAGAGTCGTTTTTGCTGAAATGGAGTTAATTGGAGAATCGACTAAATGTTGATAAGATAGTCCTTTTCGAGTACTACAAGCTCCATTAACCAGATTTTAATTTCTGTTACTCCTACAGCCGGAAAAAAATAAAAACTAATTTCTCATGTTAATCTCCTATATCCAAGCCTGCCTGGGACACCCGGTATATACTACTTTGTAAACAAGCAAACGGTGTGCGTGCTTACATTTTTATAACCCAAACTGAGTTCTTCCTTGACTGTGCCATGCTTCCCACGCTCAACCAACAAGAATTCTTCGCCTGAAGAAGATACAATAAAAGTATTGAAACGTCGCGACGAATTTAATGGTTTTTATTTCCCTTTGTCCTGTAAACCATCTTCTACGTAATCAAGGATTCAAATTTTGGTTGTAATTGATTTATTGGGGAGGTAACCAATTCTACCATAAACGACGCAAAAAGTTAAATACTTTAAAGACCATAAAATCGCTATATCTTAAGATGAACTATACCAGAAAAATAGTATATTAAAACGTTAGAGTGGTTTGAAATTATGGTTTTTAAAATAAAAAAATAACAGACTTATCCAATGCTCACACCCTATTTTCCCCTTACAGAAACAAACAAAAATAAAATTTAACTAATTTTATAACGATTAGAGATTTTTTGTTGATCGCTAATGCTAAAATCAATGAAGTGTTTCACATTATTTTGCATTATTATTGTTTATTATTAGAATCAATGTTTTTAGAACCCGATATGTAGTTTGTTTATTTTTGCTTTCACTAACAAAACTAATTAATTAACAAAAAAATTATGTTCAATAAGTTTTTACGTTTACTTATAACAATTATGTCATCTAGTTTAGGTATACATTTTCTCATTTTTTTACAACCTAAAAATCAGGGTCTTAATTATGAAGAAAAAAATCTAAACCCATTACGAAAATAAATTAACAAAAATAAAAGTGGATATAAAAAAATATTAAATATGTATTTATTTATTTTACAAAAAGTTAAATCTACGTATGTTTTCTAAACTATTAAGGTAACTTCGTGTTGTCACAAAATCAAAAGAATTAAAAAATCATTCTCAGTTACTGTGGTAGTCGGATTACTGATTTAGATGTATCTTTGATTTTAGACTCATAGGTACACTTCCAATTTAATTATCAAAATCTTTTTTGCTAACTTGTTTCACCGATGATACGTCTGAGGGTTTTGCTTTGGGTTGTTCTGCGGCTTTCTTCTTACTGTGGACTAAAAAAAAAAAATAAGTTTTAATTCTATTTAGGAATTAAACTTACTTGTTAAAAGTGTTATTGGACCTTCTGGTTTTTTAATTTTTTCATCTTTCAAATTTGGTGCTACCTGTAACCCGGAACTGACACGGTAAATTGGCAGGGGAATCACCGTCGAGGACACCGGCACCAGATCTAGTGTAAATGTCGCATTAGTCTAAAAAAACTGTAATTTACATATTGTGTGGGTTTACAACATCCACATAAGTCAAGGTAAAATTAAAACAACGTTACGAAAGCTATCTAAATAATTCTTATTTTTCTTTACACAATTGTGGAAATTAGGTAACTGAAAAAAACCTGAATTAACAAGCAATCACCCACCTGGTTCTAAAATTTTGTTTTCGTTGTATTTGTAAACCGTTGGTAAACAGTGCGAGAAACACACGAAAATTAAACATAACCACACCACTTTGATGTACATAATGTCGAAAAATACTTAAAAAGACCGCTATTGAAAGGAGAGCGCCGCTTTTGCGACTGCACGTTTCTGAAAATCAACACTACACTTGTTTCTACATTGGCACAGACAATTCATGGTGGTGAATCGATGCTAAAAATATTCAAACAAACACAAGGTCGACTTTTTTAGCGATTGAGTGAAAGTTAATCCAACCTACATACTTAGAATTGCGTTGAATTTTTCAAATAACTTTCAATTTTTTTCGAAAGTTGACGAATTTATTAATTGATATAAGTCGTGCAGGTGATTTGTTTACTTATTCTCGTCATGTTCGTGTCCCTGTCGTGCCGTATAAATGATGGTGGTAGGGTATTGTGTGTCCTATGCTCATTGGGGACCCATTTCAGGTGTGTTATTAGACCTTGTGTAATTGAAACTATCCCCTAAATTATATCAACGAACTCCCTTCAGTAAAATTCATATTTATGCGCTTAGTTGGCCAATGATCGTTTTAAGAAGTCAAAGATTAGCATCATCATGATGAGTGAGAGCGATTCGAGGCTAATGACACTTTTCATCTTCCACTTTCTCATGATTATTTGTGAATAACATGCTGTAACAATGGTAAAGAGTAGCTAACTATTTATTTTCTACCAAATAAACTTGGGTTTTGTACAGGGTGTTTTAAGTTTTAGGGCCGGGACAAAAATAAATCGTCGGGTTATTGCAAAAACCAGGTAAGTCCATATGCGTTGTTTGCAGTAATCCTTCATTAAATATGCAATTCTGCAGTTGCATAACTTATTGGTCATTTCAGTAACAATTGTCTGAACTTATTTAGTTATAGTACAACCTCTTATTCTATGAGAACAACACTCTTAATCATAAAGAGAACTTGTTTATGTACTTAACACAAATCACTGGAAAATGGAGTTATCTGGTTTTTGCGGTAAATTGATTAAAAAAAAATTGCTTGTGTAAAGGATAGAGGATTGCACAAGGTGTCAGAACATGGAAAAAATGTTTAAAAATTTCTATCTGTCATAAATTTTTGGCATTTACTTTTTAACATTATATCTTATTAATGTCACTGTGACAGCTGTCAAAGTCAAATCGTCTAACCTCAAACAGGTAAGGTAAAAACGTGTTCTTAGCCCCGATCGGGGGCGCAGCCCCCGTAAGCCCTCATCGACGGCAAAGTCCCAGTGAGCCAAAGAACCCGAAATCGAAGTTACCCGAAGAAACTCGAAGTGACCCGAAGCAACCAGAAGCGACTCGAAGTGACCCAAACATTATTTTACACAGCCGCGAGCCTTCTTTATTTTAACAAAATCTGGTAGTGTAAGGTTTAGAAGGGGGCGAGCAGCAAAGCCGCGAGCCCTCTTTATAAATTTTGACAAAATCTGATAGTGTGAGGTTTAATTTGAGAAAATCTGATAACGTGTGGTTTTTATTTTGACAATATCTGATAGTGTGAGTTTTAGAAAGGGGCGAACGGCCCGCGAGCCTCCTTTATTTTGACAAAATCCGATAGTGTGAGGTTTAAAAGGGGGCGAGCAGCAAAGCCACGAGCCCTCTTTATAAATTTTGACAAAATCTGATAGTATGAGGTTTATTTTGACAAAATCTAATAGTGTGAGGTTTAGAAGGGGCGAGCGGCAAAGCTGCGAGCCTCCTTTATTTTGACAATATCTGATAGTGTGAGGTTCAGAAGGAAAGCCGCAAGCCTCTGACATATGATGATAAATATGAGCATTTCTATTTAAGAAATTATTAAACGTTTTTTTTTTGCAAAATTGTTTAAACCGGAATTTCTAGACACTTTCTTAGTCTCCCCCACTGTCTTTTGCAACACGATATCTTGAAAAATCTTGATTAACATTCTTTTTTATTCTAAGCATTTCTTTAAGAAACTTTTAAATGTTTTTTGCAACTCTAGAAATTTTTTGATACTTTCTTAGTCTCCCCAACTGACTTTGTAGCACGATGTATTGAAAACTCTGGATTGGCATTTTTTTAAGTATATTAAAGTATTGCTTTGAGAAATTTTTAAATGTTTTTTTGCAAGTCTAGAAATTTTTTAATCCAGTACATCTGACACTTTCTTAGTCTCCCCCAACTGTCTTTTGTAGCACGATGTTTTGAAACGTTTCGAATGCCTTTTGCGAATGCGAGCAGCAAAGCCACGAGCCCTCTTTATAAATTTTGACAAAATCTAATAGTGTGAGGTTTAGAAGGGGGCGAGCGGCAAAGCTGCGAGCCTCCTTTATTTTGACAATATCTGATAGTGTGAGGTTTAGAAGGAAAGCAGCAAGTTTCTGACAAAATCGGGGGCGCAGCCCCCGTGACCCCAATTGAGGGCGCAGCCCCCGTAAGCCCTAAGCGGGGGCCACATCAAGGCTAAATCAATTCATCTGACACTTTTTTAGTCTCTCCAACTGTCTTTTGTAGTACGATGTTTTGAAACGTCTGGAATGACATTTTTTTTAATTTAAGCATTTCTTTAAGAATTTTTTAAACGTTTTTTGCAACTCTAGAAATTTTTAAACCAATTCATCTGACACTTTCTTAGTCTCCCCAACTATCTTTTGCAGCACGATGTTTTGAAACGTTTCGAATGACATTTTTTTAAATTTAAGCATTTCTTTAAGACTTTTTTAAATGTTTTTTGCAACTGTAGAAATTTTTAAACCAATTCATCTGACACTTTCTTAGTTTCCCCAACTGTCTTTTGTAACACGATGTTTTGAAACGTCTCGATTGGCATTTTTACAACTAAATTTAAACATTTCCTTAAAAATTTTTCTTCTTTTGAAAATCAAAAGTCAGTACATTTAACACTTTCTTTTTACTTCCAGCCAAAGTAATCCGAAGTAACCCGAAGTGGCCTAAAGTGACCTGAACCCACCTGAAACTACTCGAACTGACCCAAACATTATTTTTTTAAATGTAAAAGACACTTTATTAAATAAAAATTAAACTCTTAATCAAATCCGATAGGATTTGACCACCTTTA